TCTGTAAACCATAATCATCAACATTACAAGAAACAGGCTTGGATTATATTACTGAATGTGTGATGATTCTATACATTTCATCTTCTGTGATGACTGGCAATACATATTACAGTTTCACAAAATATTAATGTTTCTCAGATGCAACTTATGCTGGTTTAAACTCCTCACCATGCAAAGTAATAAGACTATAAGTGGGAGTCTTGTAAAGCTCCCACTTATGTAGAACAAGAGTCAAAGGGAAGGCTAAAGCAAACCTTTCTGACCCAAACCGACCTCTTTTTAGTTTAGCTAAAGGTTGCTGCCATTGGCTCACAGATGCACAGTGATAAAACACAAACAGAACCATTCATTTGTTCCTGTTATTGTCACCATCATCAATAATTCAACTTGATTGGCCGAAACAGAGGCTGCAGTGGCTTGTGTTTGCATTCTACTTGTGGTTATTTTTGTATTCTGCCAGTTATATTTACACTTTTCCTTGTATTTACTCTTTGCTGGCTGCGAAACAAACATGCAAAAGAACTAAGTGAATATGACACGTCATCACGCTGCGTGTCCAAGCATTTACATGTATTTTTAGTATTTGGAGATGAGAGAAGAGCATTTGTAAAATGAAAGGGGTGGTGGAGAAAAAAAAAAGAGCTGAAGGGTGGTAACTTCTCTCCACCCTTCAGCTTGAAGAGGGAGGAGAATCAGAAGTCAAATAGGGGAACAGTGGGTGTTTCAAATGAAGCCAGGGAGAACAGAGAAATGTGTGTGAGAAGAACTTAATCCTCAACAAAACAAGAAACTAACAGGGGAAAAAAAGCACAACTAACTCATGGCTTCAGGATCTTAACATTGACTAATACAAGTAAATGTGGGAGTTGATAAGTTTTTAATTAGCAGCTTGACACCATCTGAAGATTTTGTTCCTCTCACAAAGAAAACACACAACTCGAGTAAGTAAATAGTTGTTTCGTTTGTTTTTTCCTGGGATTTGTCATGTTTTTGTGTGATGTAGTCGTGATAGTGATGTTGATCGTATAAACGTGAGACTGAGCGGCAGCAGAAAGGACCGGCGACAGACACGTGGCATTCAGCTCAACAGGCGGACATAACTTTCTAACTTCTCTTTCGTCAAGGCGTTTCTTCTCTGTAAACTCGCCAAAACGCGCAAACGAGGCAAAAGACTTGGCGCGGACGCAAGAGCAGGTTAAGAAGTGGAAACTGTATCTAATGATCGGAATGCACGGATATGAGGGGAATGGGAGGAGAGTTTCTGCCATGCTTGAACTGTACGACTTCTTCCTTGTAGTAGGAACGCATTGTTTCCGTCTCAAAGCTGAGAGGAACTTCCGATGCGTAAGCGCTGCGTTACTATTGACGGGGAAGCACGCAACGCAACTGCGCAAGTCTCATTTCACCGCATTTTGAGCTCTAACATCATTTTAGCCTCAGTTTTATTGTCTCATCAGGATGAAGACACGCGTTGCCTTCACTGGCTCGTCCCAGAGTCAGTAGATCCATATTCACTTTAAATTGGGGTCAGTAAATCCATATTCACTTTAAATTGGAGAGTTAGTCATTTTACAAATGTACTGTTTTGGTAATATTTCATTAGCTTTGTTTGACATGTTGATGTTTAAAGTCCAAAGAAAAGGTCAAAAGGATGTTGTCATTATGGTCAACTTTGTAGCCTTTGCAGTTGTGGTCGTTTTGTACCGCATTAAGACATATGCAGAGGGGTGTTTCGTACAATTTAAATGTTTTTTTAAAATGCAAGGGATTTGATTTTATGAGCTTTATTAATATCTACCAGTCGGCGGAGGATTACACTTATTTTGGTTTGATTGGGGGTCACAATTTATCACCTGATCCATTTGGGAAATTGAGCTTCAGCAAATAGAAATGGGATGTAATACAAAGTCAAATAGGAGAAGAAAATAACGCCACTGAATATACAAGACAAAAGTGAATTTTTGTCTTGTTTATTCAGATAGAAATATATATTTTTAGATGTTTTTAGCTTTTGTCCATTTTTCCAATAAGGCTGTGAGATATTATCATGACCACAGCAAATGGTAGTCGGGTATGATACCGTGTTTTTCTTTTTTTGTTTGTTTTGTGTTTTTTTTGTAAGTTAAAATACTTTTAAATTAAATTCTAAATTATATTTTTGTATTCTCATTTAAAAAAAATTGCGATATCAAAAGATCAAGTGATGTGAATGGGTTTATGTACAGGGGAATGAAATGGTTTGTTTACAGATCCAAAATGAACTTAGTAAGGAACAAAAATGGCTAAATGTTGTTAGCCTACCAAAAGGGGAGCGGGAGCCATTTAAAACGGTTCTGGTTACATTTATCTCCAAGATTAGGCCGGTACGTTGACTTATCATTTTAAAATACTTACTGGAATGTGGCTTGGTTGAACAAAACTGCGTTTATCGAAAAGACAGCTAATTTTGTTTACATAAATTATACATTAGTGGAAGTTGTATTTGTAAATGTTGTTATTGGTTTCAGCTCAAACATGATGAAACCAGAAAACTAGAACAATCTTTAAATTCTAAATATAAGTACTGAACTTAAATATACAGCTTTTCTTGATCCTGTTGGTAAAGGCTCTCACATAGGCGTGTCATTGGAAACTCAACATTTTGGGGGGAATTTCATTGCTTGTTTTAAACTCATTATTACTGTTTTGCGCTGAATCAGTGAACGCAGCATTGTTGCTTCCACAGTCAGTAACCTGACCCAGGCTGAGGTCACACACGCGGAGAAGCAGCTGCCCTTCAGGCAAGGCGCCGTCAGAAGGTTTGTCCCAGAGCGCGTGGTTTATTTTCTTGGAAACACATGAGAATGAAGAGTTTGTCCTGCGGTTCTTTATGTCCTGCGGAGAATGATAAACAATGCGGCAGCAATATTCCCCAGCATGGAAAAAAAGAGCAGTACTAGGTGTGAGCGGGGGGGAAGAAACGCTTAAAAAGAAAGCTGGACACAAAATGAATAAAGCAGACATGGCCAAATGAAATACTATTATTTATTTATGTATGTGATCCAACTTCATAACGTCTCTCTGTACTACAGTGCTGTATTACTTCACTAGAGGCAAAATTGCATCAGGCATGGGCTCAGGTAATTCAGGAAACGGTTTCCATATATGGCATTCCTTCCTCAGGTTTCCGCACTTCATGCATGCTCAGCCAACACACGTTGCATGTTGTGTCAGGAGTCACAGCTGCCCATCAACACTAAGGACACATTGCTGTCTTGTTTTACTTGTTGGCAAACAAGTAAAACAAGAGCGGTGTTGACCGCTCTGCCTTATCACAACACAAAGGCTCTCATGTTCTTGTATTCTTAAAATACAATGGAACGCAAAAGTATTAACGCCCCTTGAACTTTACCACGTTTTGTTTCTGGAACTTCAAACTGCAATGTTTTCATGTTTTACTTTGTAGTACAGCAAAGTTATTTCACATTCTTCTTTGTGGGAAAACTCAAGCTCAGTCAGACTAGATAAACAAAATTACATGAATATTACCTTTCAAATTGTGCCACAGTTCCTCAATTGGATTAAGATCTGGACTTTGACTGGACCATTTTGACACGTGGTAATTCTTTGTTGGAGGCCATGCAGTTGTACTGCTGGCTGCATGTATAGGGTCGTTCATTGTCTCTTCCTCAGTCTTGAGTCTTTTGCAGCCTCCCAGGATTGCTCTATATTTAGTGATGCACCACTTTGTCTTGGTTTATCACAGGTTTTCAGATGGAACATGATATAATTTTAAAAACCTAGGCGTGTGAAGACTTTTGAAAACCTCTGTAGCTGCAGTAGTATCAGAAAGCAACAAACAGAATGGAAACAATTCAGAAGACCAGATTGTCTCGCTCCATGTCCTACTTTAACCTGAGCTCAGATACTTGATACACACTCACACACACACACACACACACACACGCACGCACGCACACACACACACACACACACACACACACACACACACACACACACACACACACAGAGTTATTCTGATACCTTAAAATCATGGCTGCTGGCTATTGCCTTCAGAGAACTGGTGTCCAGTGACGCGTAGTGTTTATCTTGTGACCTCACAATCTCAACACAGCTAGCATGGTGAGCTAAGACAGAAGCCTTTGGCTCCACTGACTGCCTTTCCTCAGTTCTACATACAGTTTCTCATATTGTACAGGAATATACAATAAGATGTAAATCTTGTTTTAAGTAACAAAAATGATCAAAAATGTGTGAGCTACAGTATGGTGGTCTTGAAGAAATATAAAAAGCATAATTATGATGTTTATTTTCGCTGCCCGTTGTTCACCTGCCGTGCTGTTTACACATCACATGATGTTTTCAATGACGATTTACGTTCTGATGTTACTAATAACACACGAGCAGGACCACCTTCATGTCTGTAGTAGTTTTTTCACCATAGTTGCCATAAAGCAAATTACTGTTAAACATTTCAGGTCTGCCAGAAATCATTGTAGGATATTTATAATCATATTATAATGGCATAACTCAACCTAAACAAGTCAGCTCAAGCACTTCCTGGGAATACATGTCGCTGCTTTGCCTTTTCTTTCTTTGGCAGTTTTGGTCTTTAGTCTTTTAAGGTAAAATAGCAGTGAAATAAATCAATATCTTTCCACCTTACAGAAAGATAGAAAAACTGTGCATTTGATTCCAGCATCCTGCTGTGAATTTGACCAAGGCTTTTACTTGCAGCTGGGAAAATAATATTTTAATGTGAAAGCGCTGAATTGTTGGCATGATTAGGAAATTCTCAGTGATTGTATACTGGTTAAAATGTTTTTGCAGTGATGTTGAGGTTTTGGGGTCAATTCACCAATATTAGTGTCTAGAGTTATGGTAAACATCGATTTGATGTGCTGACAATTAGAGAAGCATCAATCAGTTTGCCATTTTCCCCCTTAACCTGCTTAGATCTCTAATCACTGAAAAACATTTCTTCTCCTTTTTTAAATGCCTCAAAATGAAAAACTGAATCTAAAACTATCAGCCAAACTGTATCCAGAACTGATACAGTGACATACACCTGAATAATGGAGCTATAATGAAGACAAATGCTGGTTTGAACCTTTGATATGATGAGCAGGGTTCACGTCGAAGGTAATGATGCTTGAAAACTAAAAAAATCATTTATTTATATGTAACACACATAAAGTGGGGATAGCCTTTTGGGAAATAGAGATTGGGTAGGCGGGGTAGTCTGCCTGGCCAATGGGAAGTTTGATTCCCATGAATGTTTAGACCAATCAGAGAGCGGAATGCCACAGAGGCTCCACCTTCTTTCCCATGTTGGCAGCATTGATTGTGAGCGGGAGATCCAACCCTGATCAGACAGCTGAGCCAGAGTGAGAATCTTTTGGTTTCTTTCTAATATCATTTATTGACTTTGAAGGAATTTTTTTTTGTAAATAGTTATTGTTTAAATCCAACTTATAAGTTAGAAAGAGTGGTAAGTTTCAGAAAACTGAACTTCAGTTTTTCTGCTGTTAGAACCACTAAGATCAGTTGGAACTGTTGCACTTTCTGGCAGTTGATTGGCAGTTGTTTTCAGTTCAACTGAAGTAAAGCCTATATAATAATGTATTTTTATTTTACTTAATTCATTTTCTTTAAGTTAAAACTTAAAAAATATGCATTTTACACTGTCTAGTGCCCTCCGTGTCTGGAATGAGAGTCCCTGTCTAGTTGTTTTGAACGTGCCGCACTGAGATCGATCAGTTTTTTTTTTGTTGTTGTTGTGTTGTTTTTGTTTTTTTTGCTTTTTCTTCTCTTCTCCTGGATTGTTCCTGGAGTGGATTCCCCTACTGACTTTGATGGCGAGCCTTCCCACCTGGACTTAGAAAGATCTGGATTTCCTCCCATGTTGAGTGAGACCTGAACCAGGATTTAATTTGATTCATTTGTCATCTAAAAGAGATTAGAGCGCAAACTACCAGGGTGCACCCAATAGATTTAAATTTGATATTTAGCACTTGGCCAAGTATTGTTGTTTTTATTTCATGTATTTTATTGTGTGTAATTTTATTTTCTTAATTGTATGTCTTGTCCACTTGTGAGTTTATGATTCATGTTACTAAAGCTAATTGTTTTTTAAGTTCACTCAACTGTGTATGTGTGTCATTTAAACACCCATCGTGCTCCGACAGCCAAACCTATTGGCCCATCTACCTAAAACATATTGTACCCTTCTCAACTGTGTTACATATATATTAAGGGGTTTTGGCTCTTTGAGACTAGAAACAAAAAAAGAGGAAAAGCTCCGAGTTCTTTAATAAACTCATGACTTTATGCAGCATAAATCAGTTTTTTAATTCAGCTGTCGTTTCATTCCCAAACCTTTACTTTCCACTCATTCAGTCTTCCTTCTTACTTTCTGACTTCGTTATTAGTCTCATTTATGGATTTACACGAGTGAATGAATGAGAATGGTTTCACTCTGTCACCTCCGTGTGTGTGTCTGCGTGTGTGTGTGTGACTGACCACTGCAGAGATTTTCATCACGGGGTGTCAGTTACAGGGAAATCCTCCGTTTTAAATGCTCCTTTCAGCAGACTGGCTGCTCGCTGGGCTGTGAGTAATCGCATTACACACATGCCTTGCAGGCACAAGCAGAGACAAATCTGTCCCTTTGGAGCGTCCCAGTTTGTCCAGTACGACCCATGTAGGAAATAGGCCCTCATTAAGAAGTGTTTTCTGTCAGAGGGCCTGACTGCAGTCCTCCTCCCACTGCCTGCCTTCGTTTCCATTTGCCCCTTTTCGCAGCTTCACGTGGTTGGTTATTTTTGGATCATTGTGTTTTATTTAGACATTTTCCAGATGAGTGCTGTCAGATTTCTTTTACCTCCACTGTCAGAGGTTAAAGTGACCATCGGCCTGTCCTGGCGGTGTGTTCGTGTGTCTGTTCATTAGAGGTGGTCACGACTGACTTTTCTTTGTTTGTTTTGGCAGTACAGACCCTTCTGTTTGAACACAGAGCTGCACTTACATAAAAGCCACCCATTTTGTGAACCAGTTTTATCCAAGAGAGACGAAACCAGGACCAAACTGTCCATGAGAAAGGATCATTCTGCTAAAAGCTTAAGCTTTTAAGTTGCAGCTCTGATTTGCACAATAAAAGTTTAGTGTTTGTTGACTCTCATCCATATGAATGAATGTAGCTGGTGTTTCACTGAGAGCTTAATGAGGAGATTAAAAAGGGGGAAATTAATAGATAAGAAATGAAGAAACATAAAATTTCCAAATCTTAAACAGGAAATCATAGGAATGTGATTAAATTAGCCTGTCAGTGATCTCCAGGGTCAAATGATAGGACAACAATCCACTTGTTGTCCTATCATTAACCAGATTTGGACTAAGACAGATAATTGGTTTAATCTTATAAAGATCTCAAACCTGCAACACAGTTTCAAGAAGAGCTGCAATGAATGAAGTTTGAACCTTTCCATCCGTAGAAGTATACAGTACATAAAATATGTAAATATAACTTGCTTTAAAGAATGGTAAATATAATTATTTATACTTATCAAATTAAGACTTCATGATTTCAGTACCTTTGCTTAGCATCGATTTAAAAAGGTATGAACTGTATTTCAGCATAAAACAATAAAGCTTTGTGAAACATTTAATTAATTGTATTTATTGTTTGCTTTTTTTTCACAATCTTCTCTCTTTTGGGTTTCAGCGCATCAGCCATGGCCCCCACTCTCGTTCAGGCCTACAGGAGGCGCTGGTGGATGGCGGTGACGGCGGTGATTGAAAACCTTCTGTGTTCGGCCGTGTTGTTGGGATGGGGCTCTCTTCTCATCATGCTGAAGAGGGAGGGCTTCTACTCTCACCTGTGCTCAGGTACAAAGAGAAAAGCATTTTGTCGCTAAAGAACCATTCAGTTCTCTCAAACGTACTTTATCGAGGTGAAAGAAGAAGCACCGAGCCTCCTTTTGGTTTTTCATGGTTGTCTTGAAAACCTTGTTTTTTTTTCTGTTTAACTGCAGCAGCTGTTTTGGGATGTTGCTCTGTTGCAGCTGTCTGATCAGCCTTTTACACTTTATCCCTCAGGAAACAGCTCAGTGGTCCTGCATCCTAAAAACACCACAGAAGGTGCACACGACTGGGTGTTCTGTGTGGAACAGGAAGAGATGCTAAATCTTGGATTCACCATCGGCTCCTTCCTGCTCAGCGCCACGACCCTGCCGCTGGGCATCCTGATGGACAAGTTCGGCCCACGTCCAATTCGGCTGGTCGGCAGGTAGGTGTCATGAAATACGCGTTGTCCATCTGTCTGTGAAGCTGGAGTGAAAACACCACAACCAACCCATCCCTGGTCCAGTAGCTTGTCAGAAAAGAGTCAAATTAGCTAAGTGCTGCCTGGGCCCGGTGAACTGGGTCACAGATTTTTATCAGAGTAGTCATCGTCACTTTTTCTGAGCCTAGACATTTAACAGGAATGACAGCTTGCCCTCATTTCCCAACATGCATAGAATTCTTGACGCTGCAACACGTGTCTTCTTACGGCTTTTACCTCCATTATTCCTTTATTACTGCTGTGGGAGGGACGGCATTCTTAAGTACATTTTGTTATATTTGTGAAGTGAGTCATGGTGGAGCAGTTTTATATTTGTTTCTATGGAGAGCAGAGAAATTGTGCAATAGTCATAACATTATAACTCCTGCATGATGTTGACACTGATTAACCCTCGGCTGTCTCTTCATTTTGTGTGTCAAACACAAGAAAATGTAAATGTAAATATATATTTTGACCAGAATCCCTTCATTAACTCCAGTCTTCACCATACAACCACTATTTATTATTTTTATTTTAATTTAACTCCTTTTCTCAATTTTAAATTCAGGTGTCGTTTTTTTAATCCAACACATGCAGATGGGATTATTTGCCAATTATTGAGAGAAAAACTAAGTTTATTTTGGTGAAAAGGCTGAAATCAGCTGCAAGTAGATTTTTTTTAACCTTTTGTATAAAAATTGATAAATTTACACTACCCTAAAAAAAAATCTCTTCACCTGGTAGAGATCGATTTAAGACAAATAACAAAATAATTTGAACACAAGGAAACAAATCAAAATAGAAATCAAAATTAAATTATTCAGAAAGAACATTAGTACAAGTCAGAATGACAAATTGTGTTTAATTAGCATGTAAAAATAAAGTTTGGCTGCTTTGTCAGGAGAAATCCAGTTGAAACTTGAACAGTTAATTAGCCTATAAAAATATTTGGGTTTAAGATGTGTGAAAATGCCAGGATGTGAGTTTTTTCCCTCTTGATCCTTTTTTCTATGGCTGGATCAGAGGGATGTGACAAAGTTTTTGTAATAGCTGAGGTTTGTTGATGACCCAAATGACACCAGGACAGAAAGAGAGGAGATTGAATGGAAAACAGAAAAATCCTGGAGAGCATGAGGAAACCACAAAATAACCACAGCAAGAACAGCAGTGAAATCCAGGAGAAACTGAGAGACTTAACTGTGATTTCTAGTGAATGCAGATGATGGGTCTAAAAGGCAGAATAAAGGCCAGCTGTGAAGGGATAACGCAGAGGTCACTGAGGTCAACCTGAGGAAATTCAAGAAAATGGCTTATAGAGACAGAGGCCCAGTTCCTTTGCATCAAATTTCAGATTCAAGCTTCTTTTAAGTTTTGTTTGTTCCATGCAACACTTTTGTATCAACTAAGAAATAAATAAACTGAATAATGAAAATATTTGCCATTCTTTAAAAGCAAAGAATGGCAAATTCAAACTAAAGCAAAACATAAAAGCAGTCCCAAAGATTATGACAGTTTTATACAGTAACTATAAAGACTGAATAACTCTTCAACCGCATGAACAGACTTCTCCTCCTTTTTTAGTTTGCAAAATTTAAATTTAGTGCATCTTTTTTATGAATGAAAGTTCTTCAGACACTCCTTTGAGTCAGACTCAAGAGAAAAGCCTTCCTCATGCTTTCACTCGATGATCCTTCAGTTGTGTGATTCATGTAGTTATTTGTTGACTCTTTATTGACTCATCAAAGTTCTACTGTGTGTTTGATTATTTTATTATTTACACACGTCCTTCGTTTTTTCTCACAGTTCCTTATTTGCTCTGTCCTGCATCATCATGGCTGGTTCTGCTTACAACACTCACGGTGAGTACAAATAAGTTAGTCCTCTGCAGAACATCACTCTGACCTCACTGGGATACATAAACCTGTCACATTCATTCAGTCATATCCAGTAAAATATAATATATGCTCCCATGAGTCTCGGCTGTCAGATTAAACGTGCAATTTTATTTTATTTTTTTTTAATCACATCATATAAACTCTCGCATTTTATCTTTACATGCTGTTGTTCCTGCACTTTTTTGTAGTTTTATTTGGACAAAACGTAACAGTCAGATGTTCCTCATCTCTTGCAGATCTGTCGGCGCTCATCTTCTTAGCTCTCTCGCTGAACGGCTTCGGAGGAATTTGTTTGACCTTCACCTCCATCACGGTGAGACACAGCAACAGCACAAATAAACAAGACAATAGAAGTAAAGTACAGATACATAAGTAAACATTTTCCAGGTAAAAACCACACACCGCTTTCTCTGTGATTCTTTACCAAATGCAGAATTTGAGGACTTTTAGTTTTAGCCTTTCTGGACAACTCGGTGGAGACACAGAGAAGCACAGAGATGGAAATGTGATTATGCTACTCAATAATAGACATTGCCATCAATGGTGTTATTAATGTCTATCAAATTACAGTTTTATCAGGCAACTCTTAATATCTAGAACAAACCTATGCCTCTTAAAATAGAAACACCTGGCTTAGTAAATATTACTTCTTCCCACAAAGTGGTTTACATTTTTAAAAGTAACAGACGATTCAAACAAGAAAAAAAAAATCATAAATTTAACAAAAAAAAATAAAAAATCTAATGAAAAACAAGACGATGTTTCTTAACCAGCTTGAATCGAAATGAGGACAGAGGAGTTTCTGGACTCTAGATTTTTAGTGTGACTATATAGTTACTTTTTGATTTTACATGGAAGATTTTCTCTTATTAAACCTAAGAGTAAGGCAGCGACTGGTGGACTTCATAATTAAATCTATTTCTGGGGATGTTTAGTTAATTTTTTATTTCTTTTTAAAGATAAAATCATAAGACACATGTTGATCCAGCACTTATTAAAGGTTTCTGTTTCTTGTTACCTGGAATAAATGCCCAGGGATATTTTGGCAGCTGACAGCCTCAGCGTTGTTTGGGTCAGCTCAGTGTGTTGTGACTGGGAGCTGTTTATATCTCACCAGCATAAGGCTGATATATGCATGTATGTATTTATGACGTGTCAGCTGCCACCAACATCATTGGGGCTGTTTTATCAGTGCAGCTGCCTCTTGTTTCCTGGCGTGTGTTTAGAGTCATGCTTTTTGAGGGTACATTGTGTTTACCCAATCCAGCATCTGACCTCTCAGACATGGAAACTCTGTCATGCCTGTTTGGACCAATGATGGCCCATGGCTGCCCACACACCCTCCTGCACAGCTCTGCCCACTTACCTCTACCGAAAATACACAAGGACGCATTTTGTCATGCTCTGTCATCCGATGCACCTCCTCGTCCTCCTCTCTTTATTTTAACAGTTTTCTGCTCCAAAACACAGATATGACGCTCATTCAGATGTGTTTGACCAGGCAAACATGATGATACATGCTGCTAGAGTCCATTTGATACGTGCATGTAATCTTCCTGGTTATTTGCATTGGGATGGATGACATTATGCCACAGCCTCATCATGGTGCTGTGAAAACAACATCTGCTTCAGTTAAATAAACTTTATTGATTCCTCCAAGGAAAACCGCTGACACTGCTGAAAAACAGCTTACATGGCAGTTTGTAGTTGGAAACATTTAAAAACAGTTTGTTTTGAGATGAGATGCAAAGCTTGCTTTAACTAACAATTTCAAATTTTTTTTTTTTTTTTTTTTTTTTTTACTTTTCAGCCTGGTGCTAGCATTTTCAGGAGAAACTCCTTTGAGTGAAAAGGATTCAGGAGTTGCATTTTGGGTTTTTTTTGGTGACTCGGTGCACAAAATATCTTTAACTGAGGTTCAGTTCACAGTAGTTGTAGGAAATAACTTTAAGATTAGGAAAGATTAACGTCTATACGACTTTGAGAAATCTATGGCAGCTTTATGGGAAAGATTGCTGTATTTTCCCCTCTGGTGTCCAACACTTGTGCTCACATTCATTTATTTATTTATGGATGCTAGAATCACAAGTTTTTTTCTTCTTGGGCTAAACCTTAAAAGTCAGACACTAATGTCTAGATCTCGACTGCGAGGAAGCAAAGAATTTTAGGAACAAAATATAAATGGGCAGTATTTATTTCCCAGGCAAATATTGCCATTTTATGCATCATATATATACCACCTTACATAGCTTGAATTTTTGTTGAAGGACGCTGTGCTTTTATAAAATCTGGGTTTCATTTCAATAGATTTCCAACAATTGAGAAAGGGAACAAAATCTGGAAACATAACCTTCAGGGACTTCTTTAGGATGCAAAATTCAAATTTTGCCGTGAAGTGGAATATGTGAGTCGCACCAGACTTATTTTAACCTCTTTGACATTATAATACAGTTTATGTGAGCACAGCAGAGTGAGCAGGTTCAAACAGGCCGATAGAAAGCAGATTACCAAGTCCGGTTAGTGAAGCAATTAATGTGCTGTGTGACCGTACAGAAACACTGGAAAATCTGCATTTGAATGCACTTTGTGGTTGAACAGTCAAGGATTTTTAAGGCCTCTCTCAAGGTCAGACAGTGGTTCTGCATGTAATCTGGCTCATTAGGAACTTGGAAAGATTCCTGCAGCCCCAAAACACAAATACGTACAACATAAACCTTCCTTTATTCTTACATGTTACCTGCTGCTGATAAAATAGAAAATACTTATGTATAATGTGGCACAATTATTTTTTTAATCTATGCATTGAAAATGTATCTGAAAATCTCAACTTTAGACCTTTTTAAAAGCTAAATTTAGTAAAAAGAGTTAAAATTCACTTCAGGCAAACTGTTAAGGTTCGTGAATAAAAAAACAGCCACATGACACAGTGCCAGGCACCCCACCAAAAAAATAAATAAATGAGTGTGAGCACAAGTGTTGGATAGTTACTGCATCTGACAACTGTCTTCCAGATGGAAACAAGTTACTTAACACCCAGATGATGCAATGAGTAGCTTCTCATATCTTAAACAAACATGTGGAAATGCACACTTTGGTCATGGAAAGGACATCAGTCTGTTTAAGGAGGGTCACAGTATTGACATCAAACGGACAAAAAGTCATAGGTGGCTGCAGAAACTACTGAGAATTGGGTTGAGGTCTGTTCAACGCTTTATTAAAAACTGGAAGGAAAGTGAGGAATCATCATCTGAAGGCTGTGGGGGATTGGTGATAAATCAATTTGAATTATTCATTGACTCATCTGTTTACAAAGATTTAATTTTTGGAAGTTGTTTTTTTTTTTTTCTTTCTCAAATGCACTCTTTGGTTTCTGTACAGTTCAGAGACCGAGCATTTAGTTTTACGAAAACATTTCTCAGCTTGGATTTATTCGGAACTTGAATTTAGCTCAATTCCCCTGAGCTGACCTAAATTCAACCGTGAATTTACCTAAATTCAACCGTGAATTTACCTAAATTCAGCCGTGAATTTAGGTCAGGCTTGATTGAAATAAAAGCAAGTTGTTAAAAATACTTTCTCCACCTTCAGAGACTCAATGTCATAGCGTCACATGAGCAGCTCTGACATTGTTTAACCTCGCATGCAATATTCATACTGTTCATTCTGTCCCATCGGTCACACACATACACACACTCAATTAATATTGCACCTGCATTAATGTTAGAGTCACCTCACACTTATATTTGTCCTTGCCTGGCCTCTTGTCAACATTTCTCTGGCTTCATTCTGAGCTCCACCAGTTTTGATGTTTTGATGGAGGAACAGCAGCTGAGCAGAAGGACAAAGACCCACAAACTCAGATATCATGAAAAACAGAAGACGCCTGAGAGATCTGAGCCAAAACCGTCACCGTTTCTGCTCGGATCTCCAACTGTCAATTACCTACATTATGATACAACTTTTTAATAATAACCTTCAAGAATTACACGTCAGCGTGATACCACTTAACTGAGCTACAGGAATAAATGACCCACTTACATTACTAATACGATTGCAAATTATAAACAATATGTAGGTGGAACATGCCATATAACCATTATTAAGGTTTGCTAATATTTTGGTATATTGAGGCTATTTGTTCTGGTGTGCCTATGTTATACATTTATTGAAGATGTATCACTTTTTTTTTCCAAGGTAAAGAAAATGCAGACAAAAATCAATTCTACTTTTAAGTAACAGCAATAGAAATTGTAAATAATATTTATTCTGTCCAAATGCAACAATTTGAAAACTGCATTTAAGATTAAATCTTTTGCAAAGTAGCCTATATGGGCATTTCAGGCTTTGTACACTGCCCTAAAAACAAACAAAACGGCTGGAACGTGGGTATTTTTTCTGTCTAGGTCGTTAACATGGGAAAGAAAACCAGTTACAGTAAATTTAATTAAAAAAAATAAGTTAAAAAGAAAATGCTAGGATGTAAAAAAAAAAGAACTACAAACTACCATAGTCAAAATTTGACCTCAAATTTCTTTTCTCCTGTTTTAAAAGTTATATTTCTAAAAGTTGAGAACAAAAATACAAAATCTGATTCACTCTCCTCACAACCACCACAAAAACATTACTATATCTAAATAAAAAGATCCAAACATCAGATTTTTTTGGCAAGGTTCTATTCTCATTAAATAGCAAAACCAGTAACTGTAAAATGAGTTACTGGTTAAACTGTCTTCTTGTTTTCTTGGGTTTTCTTGTGAGAGACGCAGAGACGGTACAACAAAAGATAAACTGAAACACCATCTGATTTGACTCTGTTAGTTAAAACTCATGAACAATAAAATGAGAAGTAAAGCTTGAAAACCTGCTCTGCACCTTTTTCAGCTTTCCTTTCAGGATTAGTCACTCCTGTGTTTCAGCCGATGGGTGACACACCTATCTGTGATGGTTTCACAGATTCAACTCACGGTTGAATGGCAGCAATGCTCTTCCTAGCGCTGGGAACGTGTAAAAGCAGTTCTGCTTGTTAGATCAGTATTTCATGATCGATTGCCAAATCAGCTCCACCCCCTCAGCTCTCCAGAAAAAGAAAAAAAAGAGGGTTTAGAGCAGAAGTTTCTGCTGGATCTCCTGCTGGTGATTAACATGCGCTCAGTTGTTCCTTCCCTGGGTTATTGAAGCAGTTGGTGAAATTTGTTCAACAAGCAGAAAGCAAACTACAGGGAACTACAGATGTGGAAGACAGTGACACTCTGGGTCAAACATAAAGAGTCTGATAAAGCTTTGATCCAAATCTAAACATTCGGCCTTGCTCTGGTTTATGCAAGTCCAGTGCAGCTGGATGTGACAGATGAGACAATCTGTGAAAGGTTAGCGAGAACATAAAGCGAGGGGAAAGAAGAAGCTGGTGCCACTCAGCTGTGGTTTAGAGAGAGATCAGTCAATCCTGAATTTATGTTTCTCCCACTAACTTTTCCCCCCCTTTTTAAAAAAAAAAATAATAATTTCTGCCAACTTCTCTGTGTGTAATCTACCGTTCTTCCACATCGTTAGAGATGAAACACATCTCTGAATCCATTAATCTGTCATTTGGCATATTCTCAGTAATTAAAGTCCTAATTAAAGTCAGTGCCGGCTGGCAAGATCTTCCAGAGTCCAGCTGAGTGGGCACAGCTGGAGCAGCGGCTGGACTGATCGGCGGTGACAAACGAGTGACCTGAGCACCTTTTCTCTGTGACTCTCTGACCCCTGGTTAACCCTCGCATGGCTCCGTTCAGTCACCTATTAACATGCAGGGCTTTGTCATGTCTGTTCTGACAGACGAAATGTGACATTTTCCAAACTTTGTCATTTCATAACCCCCAAACTACAGTGTATTTTACTGGGATCGCTGGTAGAGAAAACCTCACAAGGCTTGCTGCTGTAACTGCAGCAAAAGACGGTTCTAGAAATACTGAACCAAGACGACTGAATCCAAATACATCCCAGACTTTTAACACTTTCCAACCCACAATTATGTTATTTTGTGTTGGTCCAATTTCTTCAAAGCAATGTTTTTCAATGCATTTTAAAGGAGAAGTTGGAACGAGGCATTGCATTTTGTTCTGCCTGCTTTTCAAAACTCTTCTCTGAACTTTTTCCTTGAACCTCTGTGGTCAGAAGAGTCCAGATCCACGGATCTAACAGCCATGAAGGTGTCAAGTTTTCCCCCCGTTTTCTGAGAAATCGCAAACGAAGACGAGTGTTCTTCGAGATGTTTTTCCTCCTCTTCCTCAGACAGTCAGGCTCTCTCTACCATGCGCCGAGGGAAACGTTTTTCTCCTGTTTACCTGCTAACCACTTACTGTGGGCTCTCGAAGTGACCTGACGCTTCCTGGTGCAATACAGACACATTAGCACGCCGGCTGCAAACTGTCACCATATTGCGATCGCAATGCAGCTTTCTCACAGACGTTGAGAATAAAATGTCAATATTCACAGAAAAGCACACTTGACACCCACATACAGAATCTCTAGAGGAAGATTTTCAATATGTGGCTCTGAAGTTCCTGGAAGTCTGTTCCTGGGGAACATCTTCCTGCCTAAAATCTCTCTGTATACTTGTATAGAGTTTCTGTTTCATAAAATGACTAGATGAACATTATTTTCTTGCTATTCTTGGTAGAAACATAGAAATCCATGTAAATTACTTTTTAAACCCTCATACTGACAACACAACCAAAATGCATGTGTAATCTGGAGGGTTTGAAAAGGCAAATCAGAACAAAGAATAACATTTTGCAATGGTGAAATGTTGCTCCCGGAAAAAAAGGTTGTACAAAGTGTAAACTGTTTTTTATTCAAACGATCCTGTGTGTCTGTGAATTAAAGGATGATGCAACATGGTGATATCTCGCTTCCAACTTTTGAGAAACGAATCAAACGGGGTATTTTCGGTGAAAATCTAAGTAAACTGGACAGTGTTGATTTTAAAATGTCAATTCTATTCAGTAATTCCCTGATGTTTAATTTGACTACCAGCTTTTCCCTGCACCTCGGGGTCTATGAGGCTGTTAAACTTGGCAGCGTTTCCCTTTTTAAGGTTCAGATATAATAAGGCAAGGTTACAAATAGCTGTGCATGATCAGTTATTAGGAGCGATTAAACACGTGTTACAGTTCAAGCTGTTTGGTTTATATTTACCGTGGATCACAGAGGATTGCGGTTTCGAGCAGCAGAAAGTGCAACTCCCAACAAGTATTGCTTCATGGCAGCTGGATGCGTATCAAAAGGCGAGTGGCCTGCAAATAAGCTATGCATATTTGCAGGGAGCTGTTGGTTAATGCACCTGTCCTTCTGGCCTCTTTTCTCCCAAATGATAGTCAGACTCTGAGCTCTGAACCTATCAGTGTCTCATAGATGTGTGAGAGGAAAAAAAAAAAGGGGTCACTGTCACAGCTCAGTGACCCCTGACACAGCTGAGGGATTGGGTGACGCCGACAGCAGGTTAGGTAAAATAGTGAGCCCGTCATGGAGGACAACTACAATCCCTCACATGTGATCTTTATAATCATGATTGACCCATTTAAACCTGCAATCAAAGGGCATTTAGTGTGTTGCCAGCACAATGGATTGTTGTTATATGTTATAATCTTCTTAGTGCTGTGAATGGGCCAGCCTAATATATGATGTGCTGGTACCTGCCACCATGTGGTTTGGTATGTTTCAGGCCGCCATTCGCAGCGGGTTAAACTCAGTGGGTCAAACAGTATGCTGAAAGGTCAGACTTTAATCCCAAATCTTTTAAAACAACAAAGCTTTGTTCGTCTGAAACTGTGAGGCTGTCATGAAATTAGAAAGTAATAAATTCCTCTGTGGGAGGAGAAAAAAAATGTAGAAAGTTTGACCCAGTCTCCTTCTTAAAGCTGATACATTCTGCCCCCTGGTGGAGAGAAAAATCAAACAGCTTTCACACATTTAATGTTCATTTAATAAGTATTATAAAAATCTGTGTGTGTGTTTTATCCCTGAAGCTCCCCAACATGTTTGGTTCTCTGAGCTCCACCATCATGTCGCTGATGATCGGCTCCTACGCCTCCTCGGCCGTCACTTTCCCCGGCGTCAAGGTAAATGATAAGATTTAACGCAGATCTAGTCTTTCCCTGTGTGTCTCGCCTTCCTCCTGCAGGTTAAAGCTGACGCAGTGTGGCTGTAGGTGTGTGCACACATAAGACCTGAGCAGTACTTTTAGACACTGTTCCTACTTTTTCTGTCCGATCAAAAGTGGACAGAATTGGACAGAAAAAGTCTGGAAAAAGCTATTAAGATATTTTATTCGGTTAGAATTTGAGGCTTTTTTCTGATCCCTGTTGTCTAAAAGTTGTCCTTTATTTTTTCTCTTTCCTTTCTTCCTTTGTGTCCTACTTTCTTCTTCTGTTTTCCTTCCTTTTAGGAATCTGTCCTATTTTTCTTTCTTTTACGTTTTCATCCTTTTCTTCCTTCCTCATTTCTTTTCAGCTTTTTGTTACACACGCATTTAAAGCCCACTACAAGATGTGCATTTTAGTATTTTACATTTTGGAAAGCTTAGTCTAGATAGGTTTGGATGTTTTATTTGCAAAATAGGAACCTTGTTGAAACTGCAAGAGATTTCTTCGTAATTTGCTTTTAAGGATCCAGATGTTCTGTCCAGGGTTTCTGAAGACCTTTCAGTTTCTAATTTTCTTTGAAGCACTTGAGGCTTTTCAGAACAATGTTTATTGTTTGTTGTACAATGTTGCTGAAGAGTATTAAAAGGACGTCTGTTTCCAATGACGACAGTGACTTGAGAACTTTGCTGCATGCACTAAAAAGACCCAATCAGCAACTTATATTTTGCAACAATCATTTCTCGTCTTTGTAGCTGATCTACGACGCAGGCTTGCGGTTCCATGTGATCATGTGGATGTGGGCGGGTCTCGCCGGGTTCGTTTTTATTAACTGCTTCTGCAACTGGCCCTCAGAAGGCTTCCCAACTCCAGACGAGGTTGACTACAGGTCAGCGAAACGCCCGCCTGTCTGCTGCAAACGTCACCAGCGGTTTAAGTCAAGCGAGCGGGATCTAAAGCTGCAACCATCTCATGTTTTGTACTCAACAGTAAGATTCTCATGACGCAAGATGATCCATTATCTGAGCAGAAGGCTGTAGGGAAGAGACTGAACGAGAAAAACGGAGACGTCCGACATTCCACGGAGAAGCTTCCCAATGGACCCGACACTGCACCAAGTGAGTAAGCTAACCGCTCATGTTAGAGGAAAACGAAGAGAGACTATTCCCAAATATGTTTACGTACTGATCAAGTTGTCTGTAAGGGTTAGGGTTAGGGTTAGGTTAGGGTTAGGTTTTTTGCTTCACAGTAACCTATTAAACTTCAGGTCCATTAACAGCATTGAAAACCACGTCACCAAAGGTTTGTCCTCCTCCCATAGATGCCGTTCCCTTCCGGCGGTCTGTGTTCTCCCCCATCTTCCTGTGGAGTTTGGTCACGATGGGGATGACCCAGCTGAGGATCATCTTCTTCATGGGAGCAATGAATAAAATGCTGGAGTTCATGGTGACCCAGGGAAAAGAACACCGTGAGTGTCCAATGAGCTTTAACCTCTACCATTTTTTTTCTATTATTGTTTTATCACTATTGTAAATTTTGTTGTTTTTTATATTTTAGCACGACCCGATAAGCTTGAGGCAGAAAACACAGGTGAGTTTTGTTAGATTACGGGATGAACCTTTAAAAATGTACCTGACCTTTTCACCTCATTTTATTGTTTTCCTCTTGACCTTTCAGTGAGTTACTACGCCTCCATCTTTGGCACGCTGCAGTTGCTGTGTCTGGCGACGTGTCCTCTGATTGGCTACATCATGGACTGGAAGATGAAGGAGTGTGAAGAGGAGAAGTGTCCCTCTACCGGGATAGTGAAGAGGTACGTCCAGTGAAAAATAACAGATGTGAGAGGTTTGGGATTTTACTTCTCAGCTTCAGGCTTCCATGTAAGGATGCAAACAGGAAGTTCTTTGAGACGGAGGACGGGTTTTACACACACGTGTGATGCAGATTAAAAATAACGTCCCGTCTCTCCCTTAGAGCCAAAAGAGACCGTAAGATCCAGAAAGTGACCAACGCTATGAGAGCCTTCATCTTCACCAACATCCTTCTGATCATTTTTGGAATCTGTAACCTCGTGGATAATCTGCCTCTCCAGGTAAACACACCGCATCACACGTTAACAATAAAATACCATCAGAACAAACGCTTACGAGCCGCCTCTTTTCTGTTTTTCTGCCGTAGATTTTGACGTTCATCCTCCACACGATGGTCCGAGGATTCATCCATTCCTGCTGCGGAGGCCTCTACGCTGCTGTGTGAGTCCTGCAGCCCCAGCAACACGACAGACACGGGATGCATTCATTCCCTTAGGCGAGGAAAATTCGACAAGATTCCTCTGTAAACCACAGAGCGAACAACGGTGCCATGTTTGTTTTTATAAGGTGGAAAACACAACAATATTCAGCGTGCCGGTATTAAAGTCCAAGCAGATTGTTTTCTGACTCATTTAGAGTTATCTTCTGACACCAAATAAACACCAAAATGAAACTCAGCTTTACAGTGTGATAAAAGCAACCAGATGTTTCAGCAGAACCAGAGCAGGTCAAATTCCCTACAGCAAGATGACATGTGCCCACTGGAGACATGGAAACAAGCCATCTCTGGCAGTAATTAACACGTTTCATATAGATGTTGCATCATCATCATCAAGAAGAAGATACAACATAATAGTTAAATATGTTACTGTGCATTGATGTTCATCCTGATGATCCTGGAGTTTATTTCAATGCCATGTTAAACCACTTATTATTTTTCCTCAACAGCTACCCGTCCAACCACTTCGGTACACTGACAGGCCTCCAGTCCATGATCAGCGCGGTGGTCGCGCTGCTGCAGCAACCGCTCTTCATCATCATGGTAACACATCTTCAAGGGGACGCCTACCAGGTGAGGAAATGCTCTCTGACCCTCATGCGTGCACACGTACCTCTCAGGTCAACATATGAGCAAAGCAGTGCCTTAACTGTCAGCCTGAAAAGGGCATAGAACAGATTTTCTTTTTGTGACAATGAATTAGAGTCATACATGATTTATAGCAAATAAATAAATAAAGAGCCGTCGGTATGTAAAATATGGCATTCGGCTCTGTTAGAATTTCATTTTGGACCACTAAGTCTGAATTTATTTATTTTTTCTGTGATTCTTTAAAGACAGAGAAAACTCAAAGCGCAGAAACATCAAATAAAATGTTGTATTTTTACAGCAGATGATTTATCAAATCTTAAGGCATTTGATTTGATGATCCAGTGACAGATTTTTTTTTTTTTTTCAAAATTACTGATCAATTAGTTGGGTGAATAATCTTGTAATCCACTTTAAAGGATTAAAGTGGATTACCAAATAAATCAGATTAATAATTCTAAGAATATTTTGACTAAAATTGATTTGAAATACTAATCCTATTTTGGGAATGATTCTATTTTTTCTGCTCGTGTTGGGAATTAGATATATTTTGTCCCCAGAAACAAATCTTTAAGGACAGGGACGCCTGAGTCCACTCCTAGAAAGCCACTTTTATAGATGCCCCCCGCTCCAACACACCAGAATAAATTGCCTAAATTTAGTCCTGCAGAGGCGTGGAATCGAGCTACTCATTTGTTTCCAGTGTGTTGGAGAAGTGATGGGATGTCGCCCATTTGATTTAGGGACATCTAAAAACTCCAGGACGTCAACATCAACCTTGTGGTATTGCTTCTCACCTGTCCCCTCGCCTGTGTTTCAGATCAACCTGGGCCTTCTGATTTGCTCGTTCACCGGCTTCCTGCTGCCGGGTTACCTGTTTTACCACCGCAGAAACCTGCTGAGGGAGCAGACGGCCAGAGACAACCAACCTGCCATTCAGGAGATGGAAGCTCTCAAGTCCACCGAAGCCAACGGCTTCAACAAGCCTCACAGCAACGGCAACGCTTAGACAGATGCTTAGACAGCAGCAGAGCAGAAAATTATGGGTCATTTTAAGCATGAGGCTGCAGAATGGACACCAGATTTTTTTTTTTCTCATCGAGAAAAATGTGTTTTTATCGACATACAGTAGAAACCAGAAGCTAACATACACTGAGGAGAGAGACATACACGCTTTATCTCACTGCCTGAAGTTAAATCAGACCAAAATCCTTGTTCCGTTAGAATCACCTACAGGATTTGTATTCGCTAAACGGCGCAACAATGACAGAGAAAAATGTGTCAGATTTATGATCAATGTCTTCAAAAGTAAGAGTTTGCAGATAGAATTATCACTACATCTTTAAACAACAATAAAAAGCCCGGATGATGATGTCATGGCTTGGGAGACATCTGATAGGTTGTCTGACATATTTAAGTGGATGTACTGTAAGGCCTCCAGCTGGTTTCTGGTTGACATGAGAAAGTTAAAAGAAATCAGCTAAAATATTTGATAAATTCTTTCTCTACTTATTGTGACGTTTAGCATGTAGATATATTGATAATCGAGACTGACCTAACACTCGAGACATCTGATCCGATTTAACTTTAAGCATTCTTTCATTCAGTGTATATAAACTTCTGGTTTCAACAGTATTATTTTTCTTTTTTAGTCATTGCTTGTGCTTGTTTTGCCTGCCACAAACAAGCTTGTTTTGTTACAAGTCAGAATTTCTTATTTGGAGAGCCGTGTCATCAGTTGTTGTTGCTCTTTTATTTATTTGGATTTAGATCCAAGAGCCAAATCAGTTTTCAACTCAAGCCATAAACCTAAAGATTAAGCAGAGGCAACGACAAACTGTGGATAACACCATACTTGAAGTAGTTTTCTGACAATCATTACTCACCTGCGAACACCAAAGAAACAACGAGGTTTTTAGGGCAGTTACATGATCTGATCAGTATTGTTTTTGTACTATGCAGAATGTTGTTTGTGCTTTTTCTACTGTATTCCCAAAGTAAGAAGAATCGAAGCAAATCAGGAAAACGTAGAGCGTGCACCTATCAAAGTAAGAAGGCTTATGAGGCATATGAAGAAGATTTTGTGAATTTTATCTGAGCCCATCTGATAATTTGAACACAAAAATGGCTGTATGTTTAGATACCACATCTACCTCCTCCTGTTTTGTCCCAGTTTCATTCACAGGTCAATGAACTCTTTCAATTATCTGATTTTTCTTCTTTTTCTTCAGATAAAGACTAAAAACATTGGAATTTACTAATGCTAATGGTCATTAGCATTATTGTTTCACTAATAATGCTAGAATCCATACATGTTATGTAATATATAGGAACAAGTTTGTATAGGAAAACGTGACTGACAGGGTGATTCTGACACAGTGTGTGAACAGTTTTAAAACACTTTGTATTGCTTTATGCACAGAAATTATCTAGTGTGTGTATGTGTATGCAAGTGTGTTTTTATACTTTAGCTGCAGTAGCAATAAAAAGGGAAATCTATTTTGTAGATGGATCACTATAAAAGTAGTCCAGATGATTCTAGCTCTATGCAGCTTTTATTTCTATGGGTCTTGCATCAACTTAGAAAAAAAAATATATTTTGTAAATACAACTGTGATGTGGCTTGTTACTTTTATAACATTTTCAGCTTGTTTTACTATAAATATTGGAGTGTGTAGCATAGGAACATAAGGATACCCTGCTGTGCTTTTAGTCTGTTTCCTTGATGTGATTTCACATCTGATTTTAGCATGAAAACTGTTTGTAGCAGGTTGTGTTCCCTTTGTGTCAGCATAAGAAAAGTAATGATCCTAAATGTAAACAAAATGTATTATCTGTTTATATTACACAGATGTAAGTTTTTGCCACTTTTTCCTCATTTCTGAAGCATGGTTTATTCTCTGTACAAAATAGTTTTGCTTTTTGTTTTGCTGTCACCTTGCCTTTCAATAGAAGAACATCTCTGCCAGTTTTCTCTGTAAACCAAAGCCATTTTCCATAAATGTCCGGTTTGACGATAACGCAGCAACTGACCTCATGAGAACAGACTAAATTCCTTTCCAGCAGTAAGTATAAGTAAGTTACATGTGGTCTTTTAAGTTGTGATCTACAACTTAAACCATATTTAAAGACTTTACAGACATCCCTCTGTACCGTTAGTTTTTGATTTACAGAATTCATTTAGGTTATTCAACATTATTTGGTAAATAAATGTACAAATAAAACGTGCAGTAAATGTGTCATTTTTGGTGAGGTGATTCAGATTAAGGAAAGAAACATACAATTTATAATCAAAGTTTATTTGATTTTGGCGTCATGGTCAAAATAAGAACAAAAATAATTAAAGAAATACACAACGGCTGTTTAGTCCATCCACACAGTTGGTTTTTTTAAGCTTAGTCTGTAACATCTCTTTCCATTTTTACCCAACATCTCTGCTCACTCAACACAAAGATGCACACATTATACAGCCATTTGTTTATCTCATGAAGCATACCTTTAATAACACAATAACCCGTAACACACACTCTTACAAAATGTCACACATTCAAACAGGCAGACACACACAGTGGGCTTTCGTCTATCTGAGGCTGTTGCTGCTGGGCTGCGATCCAGCGAGGCCGGGGTGGTCTGGGCTGTGGCGGTTCTGGTTCAGGGCAGAGACAAACACCGGTTTCATTTTATGTAATGACATTTTCTAACATTGTTCACACACGGATAAAAGTGTCAAACTGGTTTACCAATTCTAATGCAAATTAAGAAATAACCACAACATTAAAATTTCAAAAACCTTTTGGATTGTTGTCTTAATGCAGTTAATCTCTAAGAAAGTCCAAAATTGCCTTAATTCTATAGATACATAATTTCTTATGAACAAGTCCTAATTAAAATGGCAAACGCTCAGGTGCTTTATCTTGACTTTTTTTTTTTTTTTTACAAAAAAGCATGAGCAATTATTTCAGTATTTATTATTTTTATGGTCATGGAAACAATTATCTCACTTTAAAGAAAAAATGTTTATTACGCTAATTTTACTGTAACAAATAACTTTGTCATAAACAAAACAAATAACTTTAGTTGTTACACTGAATAAATAATGTATATTTTGCTCTCCATGCATCTCACATGCACAAGGTTTTAATACCTAAAACAGGAACAACTACAGAAATTTGTAGTAATAAAAAGACATTAAATACCAAGTCAGCATTGCACAGCAACAGACAGGATGTTGACCAAATACGGTGATATAATTGTAGTTTGTCACACAAACAAAAAAGGAGCTAGGAGCAATGATAAAAAGTAACACCTGTTGCCCACAATGTAGTTATAAATACATTTTCGTCCCCAGTTTGATTATTTTTAATAACTATTAACAGTTTACATTAGCCTACACTAAAATCTATTTTAAAACTTACTTAAATGTATTTATATTTATCAAATTCATTACAGAGATGTTTGATTTCTTTCTATGGATAGTGTCTGGAAAAAAGCGTCTTGTCTAATGCTGTTTTACAGCGTTAGACGAATATATGGCCTTTAATGTTTTACAGCCTTAGACAAGACAACTCAAAATGTAATCATTTTTTATCTGAGTTATAAAGAAAAGAAATTATTACTTTGATGTTAAACATTTATTCTCACCTTCTTCTTTTTCTTGTCTTTCTTCTTTTTCTTTCGATCCGGGTCATCGTCCCTCTTTTTCTTCTTTTTCTTAGGATCAGAGTCTGAGGGAGTTTCTGGAACAGAAAAGAAGCAGGTAAGTAAGTGGCTTGCTGACATGCTGAACTCACTTGCATTTAAAGGTAATAATTTGTCCTACCTTGTGGTAATGGGTCCTGTGGTCGATGGTGCTTGTGTTTATGCTTGCTCTTCTTCTTTGGAGGCTGTATGTGCATCAGTCTGTACTGTTCTGGGAGCTGGAAATATGTGCATGCATTAGTATTTAGTATCTACTCATGATGTGTTTAAGACGTTAGCAGCAGACCAGAATATGAATTAAAGTACCGGTCCTGTGTGTAGTCTGAATCCTGTGAGCGAAGCGCCAGTCAGCGGGCTGAAGGAGTTCCCACACACTGGAGGCTTATCGATCAGAGAGCGTAACGAGCTGCCGTCCTGAGTGCCCGGACAGTCGATCATACCTGCCATGCAGGTGATAGAGGAAAAAAACGTAAAAAAGCAAACTCACAAATATGTGCAAGGGACATATTATGACATATGAGTTTTTTGATAAGACCTTACAGCATCAGATTCCCACACCTGAATTAGATAATCATGGCTGAAATGCTAAAGATCACTGAAAGTAATGGGAACACTGGTGGCAGAATTGAAATTAAGCAGTAGGGAGAATGTGCCTTTTTTGCAACCGTTACCCTCATTGTAATGCTCAACAATAATGTCACCATGACGTTTCTTAATACTCAAATTGTGCTTCTATGCAATACGTATTAACATTATGACACTGCTCTACTCCTTTTCATCTCTATGCTATAATGTTGCGTACTTGTACTTTTTGATGCAAAAAGATTACTATTTACATTTAAATGATCAAACGAAAGACCAAAAGTTAAATTTAAAAGATTCCGAGCACCAATAGAAGAGACTGTAATAAAGTCTTCCTGATTTGAAAAAAAAGGTAATTTCCCATAATAATAACAGTACATAGGAAATGACAGACGAAAAGATTTTGTTTTTTATAAACTAACAGGCTGCTTACCTGGTAACTCTGGCAGAAAGTTGCTCAGCTTTTCCTTCACCTTCTTCCCACAGAACTTGTTGTAGGCATGTTCCAGGTTGTAGTGTGTGATAAGGTTGGTGTTGCCCGTCAATTCGTTTCCAACTAAAAACATAAAATTATATTGAAAAGGTTTTTGCTAACAATAGAACAAAATGTACAGTAAAGTTGTAATAAACGTCCAGTAACTTTTACGTGAACGGTGAATGTTGAATCTACAACACGGATGGTCCCTCAGGTTATATAACATTTGGTTTTAAAATGAAACATAAACGAATATACGGCCTTTAAGAACGAAAGCCAACAAACGTAAGCTTAAGATATGCTTGTCTAGATGTAAAAAAAAACTATTCAGATAAAAGAGGCTAATAACGACAATTAGCTTTCACTTGTGCCGTTAGCAACTGTTAGCAACACTGTTTACAAACTGTTTATCAGTGTATAATATATCAGCCAAACCCGTTGAAAATATAAATATCACATATTGTACCCTGGAGGCGTAATAATGTGAACGTACCAGGAAGCTCTCGCAGTAAATAGAAAGGTTCGTTTATGGCTCCGGACTTCCGCAGGGTAGGCCCTTCATCCACGAGCTGTGGTGGCATCTGCGCCGCCATGGAGACTTGGTTCTGCGGGATGGGTGGCGGCGGCTTCCCTGGTCCAAAACCTAAAGACGAAGACCCGGGAGGTCCCTGAGCTTCATTTTGCCCGAACAGAGTGGAAAACATTTCAGTCATATTTATCAAGATTAATACATTTAAAGCGTTGGGGAGGGGGGATAGCCGGTTTAGTCAAGCTTAAAGCTTGTCCATGTCGCGTCGTGTCTACGGGTATCCATGCGAGCGTCAACTGCTTTGCTTCTCTTCTTTGTGGCTTTATTTTCACGTTCCAATTTACCGTAATACTGGAAAGAAACACGCACAATACCGTAGTACTACCATTTACATACAAATGTCAAAAACAAACCAAAAACACACAAATACTGACTTGTATAATTTAATTTATTTTCAAACTGGTTGGTAGAGTAAATAACACGTGCATTTAAAAAAGTTTTCCATGTTTTCAGTTTTCCACAAAATAACAGTAGTCATTCATCAAATACATGAGCAGTGCAAAGGGAAGAAGCCAATCTTTCAAATTCAGTCACTGTGGCCTGTAAATGACAAAGATAAAAAAAAAAAAATTAACAATCATGGTTAAAATCCATACTTTTTAACTTAAGAGGGAAAACCCTCTCTGTACATTTGAGTGCTTTTTCTGTATTACTTTTTGAAATTTATAAATAAAAAATATCAGAAAACAGAATTTAACTCAAACATCAATGTTTGATGAAGTCTCTTGCAGATTGCCTCTTATTTCTTACCTTCCACTCATTTACACCTGTAGAAATCCGATGCTCAGTTTGAGCAATGCCTTCTCTCCCCGCCTGAACCCTCTCTGCCAGTGCAGCGTTCTCTGCTTGAATCCTTTTCAGCTCCTGCTTCATGTAAGCCTCTTGCTTCTGATAGTAAGGCATCAAAAAGCTGCAGATGTCCTGCTCAGGAACTCCACTGGGCCGCCTTTGACAAGTTGAAATAAATAGAGACCAAAAAGCTTCAACCTTAAATATGAATAAATATATAAACACGTTTTTAAGTTGTTTGAAGCAAACATTCTGCAAACTCACTTTTTACTCTTTGTTTGATAAGTTATGATAACCATAAAATTTGTGAGGATCTCAGCATGTTTACATGGATACATGAACCATCTCTTGTAACTTCTACACAACTGTATATAATCAACGCTTTGAAAAGTGAATGTTTTTTATCAATGTCTACTGACCATGCAGGGTCTGGATTGTCCTTGGCCTTGATTTCTAGTTTGTCCAGTTCATTAAATTTGGACTCAAACTTGCCTTCCTCCATTAGTTTCATGATGTCCTCCTTAAAGTGAAGAGAGACATAACAAAGCAGCTCATCACATAAAGACCTTAAATATACTTTAACTCCTTTTGCTAAAATTTTTCAGAAGTCATATCAGCAAGTGCAGATGAAAGATAAAATGTATATTACATAATGAAAGCATGATACATTTTTATGGATTTGATTGGACTTGAGGACTCTTGTACACCAATAGTTTTAAGCTCATCCATTTTTCCTGGAAATTGCATCTCTTATAAGGCTTTCCAACAATGGCCCGGTTACTCAAAGGTTTTTATCTAAGAAACCTTTAAGACACTCATTTTTTCTGTAAACCAACAAAAGTTTGACAGAATTATGTTGTTTTATTAATTCAGTTTGTTAGACATGGCCTCTTTTCAAAGGCAACACCAAATGTACCCAAGAGGTAGCAGTTCACTGTCAATAATGACAATTTATATCACACTCAGTCCTGAATCAAAGCCACTAAAATTCAACTTGAGAATTATTACATTAATAGTAGTGGAATAATTCTGTTTCAAATGAAAAACTACTGAAGCTTGAAAACTCCAAAAATGTGCAACTGAACAACGTCGCATACTGTTGTGCGTATGAAATAACCAAAACGGTGCTTCTCACCTGTATGGATTTCTGCAGCATTTCTGTAAAGTGCTTATGAATTTCCTCCATCCTCTTAACGTTCTTCTTGTACAATGGGCGAAACGTGCTGGCAAAAACCTTAAAACTGAAAAAGAGACACATCTGATTGTTTATGTTGTTTTGTTTACATCTGATTTGTCATTTTCAGTTGCATCTGTGAGTATGGACTAAAAATGGCCACGACGAAATAGTATGACGAAAGAAGAAAAGAGGGGATGACGTAACTAACTACAATTAAAAGCTTGAAAACACTCAAGTCAAATTTTATATTTATATATATCAAGTGAAATAGAAATAAACATGTTTCGTCGTTCTTCGACGTGTTACCTGGCGTGCTCTATGAACTTGTTCAGGCTCTTCTGAATCACTTTATCGAACAGCTTCAGCCGGTCGTACCGAGCAGCTGGCTCCTCCGACGGTTTACTGCCGGGTTCGTCCGCCGCGGCCACCGCGTCACTCCGCTTTTCGGTGGAGTCGCTTTCTTTTTGCTTGTCGCCTTCGTTTTGTCCAGAGCCGCCCTGGTCCTCCATCTTCAAATTGCTTTGTTTACGTTTTTGGAAGTGCCCGCCAATTCTACGGCAAGCCGCTGTGCCCAAAAAGAAAGTTCCGAAAGAAGAAATGTGTCCCGCTTGACGCGCAGGCGCAGTGTGTAAACCCAGACCGTTCAGCTGTCATTTCATTTCACCCCTGTGGTCTGTCCCGGTGGGCTGTCTCCTCTGACACTATGGCGTTAATCACAGGAGTGCTTGCCTTCTTGTATCATCTACCGCAGATCTACAAATGGCTGCTGAAACCTTACTACATCGTGTCGTTCCTTTTGACCGTCGCCTTCTTGGTGGTCAGGAAGGCTCCAGGGTTGTGTGAACACCTGGCGACCGACCGGGAGGACGGCAACTCCTGCGACTTCGACTGGGTGAGCATGCTGGGGCAGGGGGTCGGTGCTGCTGTTCAATATCGTGGAGATAACTGAGCAGGTATCAGATAAGAGCGCAAACAGGCAATAAGATTGTTTGTAATTGATTTTTATCCATTTTACCAGAGAGAAGTGGAGATCCTCATGTTTCTGAGTGCTATTGTGATGATGAAGAATAGAAGAGCCAGTAAGTACAAATCTTTTCATCCCCCTCCCTGAATGTTATGTATTTATGTAATTTTTATGCTATTGTAACATGAATGGATTTATGGTGAGTGGCTCTTTAGGAATCTCTGATCCGAGACCAGGCCGCATACAGGAAGTGATTCCCTGAAATCCTGCCTTTTATTGTGTAAACATTCCAGGTGCAGAGTAGTCCCACCCTCATATGACCTTGCTCAGGACTCTGAAGGCTTTTCCTGCATGCTTCAGTCAATGATTCTTCTCTTTTGCAGTAACACTGGAGCAGCACATAGGCAACTTGTTCATGTTCAGCAAAGTGGCCAATGTGATCCTCTTCTTCAGGCTGGACATTCGGCTTGGCATTCTCTACCTTGCACTGTGTTTAGGTCAGTCACGTTTTAGAGTTTAGTCATTTATCACCTTCTCTCCTAATAGATCTGCATCATAATTAATAGTCATGGACAATTATGTCCCTTTATAGAACCTGTACTACTCATTCCACAGATTTATCAAAACACGTTTCTTCTGCATCAAAATACACACATTTCAATGCATCATATTTTTCCCTCAAACATGTGGAACCCATTTAAAGTGGCATGCAAATATTCTACGATATATGTTGAAGCATTTCATGACCACTTCTGAGTGCAGTCGGGTATTTATGATGTCATATTTCAGGGCTTTTCAGACGTTTAACAGGGGTTAAACTATGTTTAATATTGGCAAAATATATTCAATTTTTACCAATCTGCTTTTAAACATATATATTTTAAATGGGACCAATTCCAGGTGTCTTGCATTTGTCCTGTCCTTCCATATCTGTCGCTATGATTATTTCACCTGACTTCTATTTAGAACATTAGATTTACTGAACTTCCCTTTATTTGGCAAAATAAAGCTGAATCACACACCCAGACAAGCAACAAAATACACATGCAGTGGAAGTTACATCTGAATTAAGTTGCTTTACTTTTGGATTCATTATTACTTAATAAGTATTCATACGTTTTATGTTTCATTCTTTGTCTCCAGCGTTTGTCATGACGTGCAAGCCTCCTCTCTACATGGGCCCAGAGTACATAAAGTACTTCAGTGACAAAACCATAGATGTGAGTTTTAGCATTTAAAAAAAAAAAATCTAGTAAGTCTTATTTCATTTGCGCTGGCACCTCATTGCTGTTATAATTAAAATTAAAAAGTGATGAAGAATATCGAGTTCTGCAATTTCACAAAAGTATTTATTTGCAATCTAGTAAGAACATATTGTTAAACTGTGTAGAACTCTATAATAGAGAAGTTGGTTGAAGAGGAAAGAGTGGAAAAATAGTTGCTTGGCGTTTTGTTTTTTAACATATTTTTGTGTCGACAGGAGGAGCTGCAGAAGGACGGTCGCGTCACCTGGATTGTTGAGTTTTACGCCAACTGGTCGTCAGACTGCCAGTCCTTCGCTCCCATCTTTGCCAACCTTTCTCTTAAGTGAGAATTTAATTTTCTCTCCCTCGGTGTTTGTAACCTGAGCTGTAACTTTACAATGGAGGCATTTTCACTCACATAAATGCTTCATTTTACGTAAACCTAAAGACTTGGGTCCTCCAAACTCTGTATTTTACTGTAATAGTTGTTTCATAGAAAATGTGCTGTGTCCTTTCAGTTTTTTTGTAAACTTTTACAGCCTGTTTGTTCACTTTTCAGATGATTGAACATCATCTTATCTGTAAAATAACTCCTGTTGTGTAGGCATGAACAAGAAATTTTCATCCCCAGATATCTGTTGATTCTTTTTGAACATAAATGATTGAATGTCAGTCATGCTGTACTCTCAGTTTTATTCTTTTTGGGTGTTTTTATTACAGATACAACTGCGCTGGACTCAGGTTTGGAAAGGTGGACATTGGTCGTTATGGAGAGGTTTCACAAAGGTCATTTTTCTACTTTTATCTTAATTGCCACCTTGATGCTACAATATTATTTATTCAAATATCCGTTCCTCCTTATTCTTTTTGAAAATAGGTACAAGGTGAGCACATCTCCTCTGGCTAAGCAGCTGCCATCACTGGTGCTTTTCCAAGGAGGACGGGAAGTTATGAGACGTCCAATGGTGGACAACAAAGGGAGAGCTGTGTCTTGGACCTTTAATGAGGTTTCTTTCTCTTTTTTTTTTAAGACACTAAATGCACACTGCCTTTTTCTGACTGGCTACTGTAAAACAAAGTTAACGAGAACACGTCTTTTCTTCGCCAGGAAAATATTATTCGAGAGTTCAACCTGAATGAGCTTTTCCAAAAGTCCAAGAAGCTGAACAAGAAGCAGAACGGTTTTCAGACAGAAGATGGCAGCGAAGAGCTTCAACAAGAAACCAATGAAAAGTCAGCAGAAAGCAAGAAAGACCAATGAAGAAATACAGAATGTAACAGGATCTGTTAAGGTTTGTTTTTTCTGGTGTTACATTTTGGTTGAATTTTACAAAAAATAAAAAAATAGAATGGAGTACTGAAAGCTGATTCATCTGTCAGACTCAAACTCCAGGGAGAACCAATGCCCAAAAAACTGAAACATGAACAAAGTCTTACTGCTACATGTTTGAATCAAAACCAAACAGAAGTTTAAGTTATTCAAGTTGACATTTTTTTCTTAATTTTTTAAATGACTGAGTTTAACTTCACAGCTGCATGTGAATGTCTGCTACCTGTATTTAAACCTGTCTGTTTACCAAAGTGAAAACATGTTCAAAAAACAAGACTCATCACATTTTTATTTAAACAGTTTGACCTTTTATTCTAAGACATCTTCTTAAAAATTCTTTATAAGGCCATTTTGGAAATGTATCTCATATACTCACTACAGATATTTGTGAAACTCGTTCCATCCGTCACAACCCACAATATCAATATTTAATCTCACGAAGAATTATACTTGCTACTCGCACATATCGTCCAGATTGTGAACCTTGCAATGAGAAGCAACGCAGGTTTGTGCCATCAATGATGTTGGTTTCTGTCACCCGCATGTGAGCATGGTGGGAATTGACAATCACACAAGAATGCACGCAAGTGAAGCAGTCAGCATGGCCAAGAACAGGAGAAAAAATAATAAATCACATGCACACTAAAGATGTAGCCTGGTTGGGTTGGAAACTCACAACACAGTTGTTTGGGTCAGTTCATACTCATGTGCTTAAAGTGTTCATTTCTCTCCTAAAGATGTGCCACATTCACACCGCTTCGACATCCTACCCCAAACACTACTAAGGGCCTGGAACAGAAAACTATTTAATAAATTAAAAACTCTGTGATGCCCAAAACAGAACACATCTCCCTTCATCTGTTATATTTTTCTTGAATGTGGGAAAAGTAAAAATAAATGAGCCCATCAATGAGATCAAAGTCACTTTTCAAACTGGAGTCACCATTAGGCATGAGCTGGTCGACTTTATGAAGGTAAACCAACGTTAGCTACTGCCTTAAAACTGGTCAAATTCTTTCATTTTTATCAAGTCATCCATCTATTGCTGTGCATTAGATGGATGGTCAGCTGGCTGAAAGATGGCACAATAGTTCCCAACTTCTGGGAAAGATGCATGTCACTGTTTGAAGACTTTTACATTCTTAAACATGAAGTGTTGCGTGCTTTTAAGGAAACCAAAAACTACCGAGCTCAGAGCAGAGCGTCTTTGAAGCAGCTGACTGCAGGCTAGCTACCTGAGCAGACAGCCTGAATAATTTATATTAGCTTGTTAGATTGTCACTTAATGAAAGAAAGGTTAAAAACTTATTATATTCTGCACAAAATGCTCATTTACTAGAGAACAAATAGTTAATTGAGACTATTAACTAGTCTATTAACTGTTTGATTGAGAGGCAGCTCAATCAAACACTTGAGCCTTAAAGTGTATTCATTTTTAGCAGCATGTTTCTTTTGAATGTAAATAATATTAAATATTTTTTCTTGGAAAATTCCAACCTCAATGACTTTGGCACATTACTGAAGATTAATCACCAAAATACTACAGGAAACATACAAAAAGCTGAATACAATTTTTATGGTTTGAGAAATACTTCTGTAATATTGGACATGACATTTTTATGATGTGAATAAATGCTGCTTTTTTCCATTTCTTTATTTTTTTTTAGATTAGCTGATCTCATTTCATATCAGAAATAAATGTCTCAAGTCAAATAATAATAATTTTTAATTGAAATCTGCATAAATAATTTGCAGGTTAGGTGTGTATTAAGATCAAAACAAAACAGTTGTTTTTCCGTTTAAAATAAAGTAATATCAAATATCTGTTTGAAGTAGAAATACTGTGAAACTCGTAGCTCATGTTATGACGTCAGAACCTCATACCAGCCCATGCCTAATAACTATGAATGGTCAATCGAATAAAAACAAAATAAAAAAAGCCAGACTCTCTTTGCTCCATTTAGTGGCACCTTGCATAAACATTTTAATATAAAGATCTTCAGACTAGTCTGCTGAAACTGATTTATTTAGTGCAGATTATTCTGTCTGGTGAAATAAATAAGCCCTTCCCTTTCTGCCCACTATTTGTCTAAACATCCGTTAAAAAAAAAAAAAGGTCGCTAGCATTCAAAACTAATTGACAATTTACAGAAAAGGGACAATGAAATAAAACAAAAACACTAAAGACATACGACGCTCCTTAAAGCTACAGACAGATTTTGCATAATGCTTCTAGCATAAAACATTACAAGCGTACATTCCACAAACGATGCTTGTGCTGCGACTGTGGGGATTCAAATTTCTTTGTGGCTTTCTTAAAAAAAATATTTTGATTATTTGCCACACCTGGTGTCCAGCAAGGATCATCTCCATCTTTGGATGTCAACAAAAAAAAAATCTCCATCAAGAGCTTGCAAGTGGCTGATGCAGCCATCAAATATAAAGAAGTCACAAAAAAGAAAACAGGCAACTGATCTGAAATAGCTTTCATGATTAATTACATACAGTTCATCTGCCACCATTATCTTCCATATCTGACATTTTCACTCTATAATAATCTGATTTTTTTTTTACATTTATATAAAATGATATTAAAAAAAAATACAAAACTTAAATGATACTGTTTATAGCTTGGACTCATCCATCTATGAGTGGTCCGTTTAGATGTTTCTTTTGGTCAATTCCTTTTCAAATTAAACATCAGCTTTCCTTAAAATGTGTTGGACACTTTTGTCAATACCTTGTCTGAACGTAGCAAAGGAACATAACAGATCATGGAATAGGTATGCGCGTTTGATAGACATATCTGTACCCAGCCGTAATGACACAGTCACATCAGTCTATGGCTCACAAAGTGGCAAAAATGGAGAGAGCTGATCCAGAGAGAGATGAATCAGCGTCCCTGCTTTCTCTTTGTTCAAACCTGAAAGGCTGGCGGAGACGATTGGCCCTTACAAAGATAAAACAAGTACCAGCCATTTCCTGGAGTCCACAGCAGAAGAACCGTTCCTCAGAGGCGTTCAGTCATGAATAATCTCCGGCTACGGTTAAGAGGCAAGTGCAAGATGTGACTCTTTTATCCCCCCCATCCTCGTCACGGATCACTCGGGACTGTCGTCACTCAAACCGATATCTCGTACGTGGTCCCTCCAACGCCGGTTACCTTCTTCACCCCGCCCACCGGTTTGGATGTGGTGTGATTGGCCAAGGCTGGGCGAGAGGTGGATCTGATTGGATGTTTATTCAGAGGCGAAGGTTGAAAAGAAAGGAGAGAGAAAGAGGTGAGAAGTTTGGCTTACGAATTCACAAAACATTCAAACAGCAAATGTTGCTCCACCAAACCACTTATAAAACACGTGATAATCAAAATTGCCTTGCAAAAGTATTTAAACCCCTTGAAAACCACACACTTTAATGTATTTCAATGAGATTTTAAGTAACAGACCAACATGTATTCATGGACTTTTAGTCTGTTTCCTGTAAATAAAAATAAAAAGGTTGAACCCTATTATCTTATTCATAAATGCACTCCACCTGTGTGTGTTTAAACTGATTTCATAAGTTTGAGCTTATGAAATCAGCTCTTCAGTTTGTTAGAGAACATTAAGTAACAAACAGCAGCCAAGTCATGGAGACGTTTAAAGTCAAGATATGTTACTAAATGATGCTCTGACTGGGGCTGGGAGATATGACTGAAAAATAAAATATGATTTGTTTTTGTACAAAATTCAGTTTCTTATTTCAACTGATTTTTTTCTTACCCTTTTCATTAAGAAAAAAAATGACAGGAAATATCTTAGAAACTGGGTTTCATTTTAACAATTCCTCATGTGAGTTGACCTGAATTCAAAGGTGAAATAAATAGAAGCTGTACAACAAGACAGTCATTCTTCTGTGGGTTAACATCACTCTGGAAACCCAAGAAGTGTATTGGTGAAAGTAAAATCCAGACTGTCCAAAATTTAAATCTTCAATAAAAACAAAAATTGATTTATCGCCCAGCCCTAATTCCTCATTTCAAAAATGCAAATTGATCAGGTCAGGCAGGAAGAGCAATAATCAGAGATACAGCCAAGATGGCTCACAGTAACTCTGGGATTCGTGTTGCAGTAATGGTTTTCTCAGGCTTGGAGTGGGAAGATGATTAGAGGTGATGGGAATAAACTAGAGAAAAATGACTTGAGATGGGCCGACGGTCACTTTCCAGTAGAACAACCACCATAAACATAGCCAGAGCTACAATGTTTGGATTAAAATACATTTGTATGTTAGAATGGCCCAGTCATAATCCAAAATTAAAGTGAAATGATATGTTGCAATATTTAAAAATAAATGCTGAGAGAAACTCATATTTGAGATGTTTTTATCAGGCGAAAAGGACAGAAATAATCCAAAGTATTTTGCAGCTAAAGGTGGTTTAACAAAATATTGACTCAAAGCGGGTAAAACAGATGCATGGCACACTTTTCAGATTTTTATTTGTAAAAATGTTGAAATCCATGTGTCGATTTTCTAACACTTCACAATTGTACATGGCTTTGTGATGGTCTAGCAATTCAAATCCTGATAAAATACACTGAGGTTGTAACATGATTAAGTGTGAGAACGTTCAAGGCGTGTGACGTCTTTTGCAAGGCACGGCGTATTTTGTGAGTAAAGACAACAGAAGGTCCCAATGGACCACAGGACAGGAAAAGAAACCAGTAGAACAACACATGCTGTGAAATCAACCAAACATACTGGCATGCTTCAAATATCAAACTACAGATTCCAACTACTGAAAGAAAATCATATTTCTGAAATCACAACCAATCAGTTGCAACAATTACGCACTGAATGTGAACTAAGTAGGAGGAGAAGGAAGACTCACACAGATCAGGAAGGAAGAGACAGGCTGACACAAACCGGGAAAGAAAAACAGTAGAGAAAGGAGAAGAGTGGCAGGCTGACGACTCTGGTGACGGATCACTACTCACTGTGGAGCCTGTTGCCCTCCTCCAAGTCCTCCCCCCCCAGCACTGTGC